TTAACGGAAAAATGCTAGAAGAGCGCATGCCCATAGCAGAAGAGCGCTGACCAATGGTACTTTAGCTCCATTGCACAGATCACCCTCGCAGCAGTTGACTTCACAGTCGTCGATTGTTGCTCCTACTTGTGCCAATGCCTTGCACCGGTCATTGTTACAGCCCGCTTTGACGCTACAATCCTTTGCATAATTCTTGACGGATAGGCCTCCCACTTCTCCATCGAGAAAAACTTTGCCACAGCTGTCGAAACCAGGAAGACAAGTCGTGTTTACCTTGTTCTTGTCACAGTCATCCCAATTCGTCAATGCCAAACACTTGTAGCACTGCAGACCATATCCTGTGAAACAAAAGAACAACGCCGAATCATTGCTAATCGGGTGAACACAACAAGACTCTTCAACAATTTGCGAGAGAGAGGACGAAGCCGTAATCTGATTTGGAACAGAAGTTAGTAATAATTAAATTTATTCAGGATTCCATTTAAACTAGCCCTGAGAAATTGGATGCCCCTGGATACATATTGATTTAAAAAAAAATCAAACAAAAAAATAATGCGAATTAATGTGCAGCGGGAAACATGATTCTCAATTGAATTTGTAAGATAAACAGTTTAATTTCATCTGGTCGTCCTTCGGTTCATGCCTTGTCCCCCTTTTTCAAGGCAAAAACTGACAACATTCTGTACGTTAAGCGTTGCAGTTTTTGGTTTCGACAGCAATAGATATTAAACCCGGAAAAAAATTCTCGCTTGTCGTCGAGGGTTTACTTAGCTTATAAACATTTAAGTTTTGGAATATAATAGGGCATGTTCTAACGAAACAATAACATTTTACCTTAAACATCAAAAACTTTGAACTATTTAATAGGGAGCTTAAGAAAGCAGGACGACGGCGACAGCGAAAGCGTCATATAAAAAGTGAATACTTCATTCCATTTGGTTCAATTTCAAAAAGGTATTCGAATTTGTCTGGATGAAGTTAATCCTGTGTTCTGATTGGCTACCCGGACAGACAAGACTAGCCTATCTCACTCAACAAGTTTGTTAGGGTAAGATGGTTGGGTATCGCGCACTAGGCCTGTCCCAATTGGCATATCCTAAAATGTGGACTGGACCCGGACTCTGGACTCTGGACCCTGGACTCTGGAGACTTCTCCCCCACCCCTCCCCCCCAAAAAAATCACTCTGGACTAGGGCTTTCCACAAGTTTCTCGGCAACTTTTTGGTAACTTCTCGTATTTTGAGCAACTTTTTTCGTTCTAAGCATTTTGCATTCTGAGCAATTTCTCTAGTTATCTTCTAATTCTGAGATGAAAGAGCAGCTTTTAGTGCTTAAAATGGCCTTTCTTCCATATTTATTAGGTTTTAGCAGACAATTTATGAATTTCCGGTAAAAAAAAGAGCCAAATTATACCCCCTAAGGAAGATCATGGGCGCAAGATAAAAATAGCCGAGCTTTAGTTCAGCGGAGTGTAGAGAAAATTCAAATTGGTAGAAGAAGATTGACAGTCGACTGACTTGAGTGCCTCGGGTGAAGAAGGTCATTCAACAACTTTATTGGCTCATTACATCTTTTGATTTTAATTGAGGACAAAGTTATTTGGCAACGCTCGTTACGCCGCAAAAGTGTACAGAACCTCTTAGAAATCTTAAAAAGACAAGCTTAAAGCTAGGAACACCTCGCGCATGCGCATAGCCATATCACCCGGGCAGTGGTGGCCATGGACAGCTGTTTCGCCCTCATTAGGTGTCATCAGCATGGTCATATGGCTGTGCGCATGCGTCAGGTACTGGCCACGCCGTGGGTTGGTGTATGTAAGCCCCTTGCCCTAAGTTTGTCCTAGAATTACTACTTTTGTTGTGCAATTTGCATGTATCAGTATCAGACCAAAAAAAGTTTTGTTTTTTTGGAGTAACTTTTGAGCAACTTTCGATTGTTTTTTGAGCAACGATTGAGCAACTTTTTGAGAAATTACGGGAAACCTTTTTGGAAAACCTCGAGCAACTTGTCAAGTCCTAATCGGGACCCTGGAATCACCTTCCCCAGAAAGAAATTCACCCCCGCCACCTTTTAAATGTTTTTAGAAATAGAAAGAGAAATAATGTTTTAAATCAATGGTCGTACAGGTATCAGGCCCGGGGACATAAACAAATGTAAAAAGTATTTAAACCCCCTCCCCCCCCCACCCTCTCCCACCACCACCACAATGGCCACAAAATAAAGCGTCCCCCGAATCTTTTAGCAAAGAAAAAGAAATGAGAAATTATGTTTTTTAGTGCCGTACGGTTATCAGTTCGGGAGTATGCCAGTTTTGGAAGAAGCGAAAACAATAGTCTACGTCACCAACCATAACATGATCACCATGGCGATGGTCATTTTCAAAACATACAAAATGGCGGACAAGTGAGAGGAAAGAGTATTGACAGAAATTCTCGTTTATTCTTGTTTCATCGAGCTTTTTAATTTGTCTTCTCCTTACTATGAATTGGGAAGTACCTTGAGGACAAGGAGTAACCATTCTTGCGCTATAGTTCTTCGCTTATTGCGCGCTTTGTAGGCACTTCGTACTCACTGCGTATGTAATCAGTACATCGAAAATAGGTAAGCACGCAACAAGTTTGTGCCTATTTCTTTCATTAATTTTTTATATTATAAGAAAAAAGAATGCTTTGGAAACAACTAAAAAAGTGAGTTGTTCTATAATTTATTTCCTTATGTTTGCAAAGAGTAAGTTTTACTATAATTTTTCCCGTTGCTTCTGTTTCTCTCTCGGGGAGTGAGCGACTGGCCAGAGAAGACGGCTGTAATTCAGGTTATTGTTTTGGTGCAAGCGAGTCATTTGTGAGTAAAATATCTGTTTTTTTCGAATATGATGTTCTGTTGGTGTATGTCCTGAAGTGGTTCCGTCCAGGTATACAACAGGTTTACAAGGGATTTCTGAGGGTATTGTGTTCGCGTTTTCTTCTTGAAAACCCACAAAGTGAAAATCTTGCTTATCATCCCTGATCATTTTTTCTTTGTCCCGCTTCCAAAAAACCTACTGCTTTCAATTATTCCACTGTCTGAAGTTCACTGATTATTTGCTCAAGCTTAACAAATGCTAGAGACTCTTTAGAATTTAATATACATATTGGAAAACTAAGAATGCCTGTTACATGTTTTTGGATATATTGATTGAAATGGGATACTTTAGTCTTGTAGTCCACCGGATTTGACCAGAGGTCAGAGATCAACAGGGTTATGGGTTGTTATAAAATACCCTCTTATATGGGATTTGATGTATATCCGAATAATACTAAATTATTGTTTTTAACTCTGGGGTTACCTTCAAACCAAAGGCATTGTAACTTTGAGGAGCACTTTTCTCCAAGTCTTCTCTATGGGGACCCTCAAACAATTCTATTAGACAAGGTTTGGCCCAAAATAATAATGATTGCTGCACTTGGCATGGACACAACATAAGTTTTCCACAGTTCTTTTTCATGGTTCTCCATGTTTCTATTGAACAGCACTTTCAAGAAAACAAAGCTCGCACATCAGAGTAAAGATACAATTATAAAAATTATGATTAAGTGCTGTTTAGGGTTAAACACTTATTTACCATGGTTAGCTTTTAGTTAATTCTTTCGGTATTACTGTTTTCGATTTTTATGTATTCTTTTCAATGAGTCGTATCTGACCTGCAGACTCGCTGCCATGGCTCGCTGGCTCGCATATTATACACACTCTTATAACACCTTCTTGGACATGAAAACCAAAAACCAAAGCTTAATTGATATAATGAAGACAGTAGCAGCTGACATAGGTTTTCAATATGTCTCTCATGTATTATTTATTAGGGAGGGATACATTAATATAAATGCTTTTTCATCGAGAGAATCTCAATAATTTAGGATTTATTCAAATACAAACATATTCAATATTATGACATAAAATGTGGGCTCATTGCTCATGCAAAGGTATTGATGGGGGAGAGTGTGGCATTTTTCCTGTTTCAGATTGACCTTTGCACAACACAGGGACTGAACATATTATGCATTTGGCATTTGTAAAGTATAAACAATATTTGACGCAAGGAATTGAACATTATGTGGAGAAAATCTTCACAAGTCTCCACTTCCATGACTCCTTCCTCATCTATCTCCTTTAAAGCCCCTTGAATAAAGGCCACAGTCTCTTCTATGGTTGAATGGTCATTGATTGTGAGCTTCCACTCACAAGGTATATAAGCACCCCCCCCCGTCCAACCTGTTTCCCTCTTACCCATTTTTGAGAGGGAGGAGGGGCTTTTGTGGTGGTAGGTAAGCCTGTGACCACACTACAAAGAAACAAAAACACATGTTTGATTTTACTGAGGAAGGGTTGAATTTGGGCATTAAATTTTTTATTACAGAGTAACATGAGACGAATCTAAAGCAACATTTTGCCCTCAGAGCACAAATATGTCGTTCTGAAGATATTTAACATTTGTCTTCCTCGTTCCTTTTCCCAGCTTTTTGGCACAAACGCGACAACATGTTTGTAATATGTCCAGATGTTTGTCTACATTTTGGACGGACATCCTCATCAAAATATAAGAAATCAATATAAGAACCTACTCACACTGATTTAAAACTCACTCCACACACATGATCTGGATCAATAAAGTGATTTCTAGATCAGAGTCGCATACACTGCCGGTGAACACAACCAAAGACAGACTTGATCGCTTATAACTAAAAATACATAGACAGACTAAGGCATAACCATCAATATAGTAACCCTTCCTGTCCGTTGGCAATTTTCAATGTGTGGTTACCATTTTTACTAGGTTGTTACCATCGATGAAACTTTGCCTGAACAAACCTTACACGTTGTAGTTTTGAGGAAAATTAGTCTTGATTTCGTAAAAATTCGGCAAGATACTGAAAACTAAACATAAAGACATGTACTTACATTCGATGCCCGTCAAGATGGCGGCGACGTCTTCGAACGCTGTTCGATAACTGTCGATTTTAACTACCGTAATGCGGCACGAAACTGCTCTTGACATTCAAAAAGCAAGGAAAAGGCTTCTTCATCAGCGCTGCTAGCTCGGAAGTCCCAGATATTGAACGAGTGGACCTGGAACAGGCTTTAAAAAAAGCTCCCTTGTTTGTGGCGATTATTTTTTCCCATTTTTGCGTATTTTTAGCAGAACAATGGAATCACGGCGTCATCGCTTCTTCCAAAACTGGCATACTCCCGAACTGCTTATCGGGGACTAACAGAAGTCTAAAAAGTATCCCCTCAGAAAAAAGAGTTCCCCCACTTCAACTGAAGATAAGCGCGTTTCGATATTCTTGCTCAATTAGGCATTG